TGCACTACAAGGGTTAAATGCTTATTTAGGTCTAGGGGATGGGGAAAGCAGTTTTACTTACCAGATTCCTCATTCCTGCATTCTCTCTCCAGGCTGTTAGACTGGTTTCCACAGTCTCTTCTACTCCATGCTCCGGTGGTCACAGGTCCTCTGATATCATCAAGTACAATGCAGGGTCTACAGCCTTGCACTGGGGGGTAAGGACTGTGAGGGACAGTTCACCATTGCAGCGTAGGGGGAAGAGGGGAGCACTGGCTGCTGGGAGTGAAGGATCAGGTAATTAAAACTGCTTTTTTCAGTACCCCAGGTCAAAATACGTTTTTAACTGCTTTTAACCCTTACAGTGCAGGAGCAGCTCCACTGCATGGGAGGATTTTTCCTTTCCCCATAGAAAGGCATTATTATACAGGATTTATATAGCGCCAACAGTTTGCTCAGCGCTTTACAATATAACGGGAGACAATACAGCAACAATACAGTTCAATACAAGACGGATAGGAGGCTTTAGGTGAACCTAGTACCTTGCTCTGCACAGGTAAAGCATGAGTTCACCTTCGGCCATTTAGATGTAATAAAGATATTCACCAGTACATTTTCCATTCACTTTCTTCGTTCTAAGTGTGTCCACACTAATACCGGATGGCAAGAATATATTTAAAGGGAAACTCCAAACTTAAAAGAAAAAAAAAAAAAGCATATACAATACATAATTGCTACACATGCCACTCTGTCATTTTTTTTACTAAAAACCACTCTCCAGTGTCAGTCTTCAGTGGAGGAGATTCTCTAACATGTCAGTAGAATTCAGATTGGGATTCCTTGTACTATGGCAACCTGGAGCCGCTCCATACACCCTGGTGTGCACAAAGCCCCCAGAAATCTCTCCCCTTCTGTGATTGGCTCACTGTTTTTATCACAAGTCTCTACCCTGGGGTAGATTTACTAAATCTGGCGCAGCTCTACACAGTAACCAATCAGCTTCTAACTTTATCTTGTTGAATGAAGCTTTGTTAATAAACCTGGAAGCTGATTGGTTTCTATGCAGAGCTGCAGCAGATTTTGCACTCCCCAGTTTTAGTAAATAACGCCCTCTGTATGCGGGCATACTCCTTGCGTTTATATGTTGGGTGTAAGGCTGGCCATACATTATACAATTTTCTTGAGATTTTTGCTTTAGATTTACCAAAAACCATATAATAGGAGGTGAAACCTAACAACACTTTCAATTGTATCCAATTAGGCAGGCTCTTGCACTACATAGTTGAAGGTAAATATAAAGGAAATTGGACAGAAAATTGTATAGTGTATGGCCAGCCTTAGTGCCCGAATGTGAAACTTCTATATGGAGGAGTATTCCTGAGTCCAGTGTGTTTGTCAATACACTCCTATGGGTAGTATAATGCAGTGTTTCTCAACCTTTTTCCAGTCAAGGCACCCTTTAAGATTATGGACAGTCCCGAGGCACCCCATTCTAAAATGTGAAAAACTATTCTAAGTTTTATATAATGCAGCAACATCCACACACGGAGGACACCCAACATTAGAGGGGATTTATTCTTTCAAAGAAAATACACTTCTGCACGCTGGTACTGACTAGTATTCCATTGTTTCTCTTCTCCCTCACTGAGCTAATGTGACCCCAGCACTGATGGAGAGGGGCAGGGGAGGGTCAAACTAGGATGCTGTGCAGGCAGCTGACATCCTCCTTATCAACTGATGATGTCATTGGATGTCAGGATGCCGGCGGCTAGAAGGTTGTAATGGTGCACAATGAAAACCTGTGGTTTGTGTAACTAAAAGGTAAGCTTGTTACACCCGCTGGCTTTTTTAGATATTTTGCCAAGGCACCCCTGAAGAAACATAAAGGCACCCTGGTTGAGAAAGACTGGTATAATGTACACAGTGGCTAAATGGTTAGCACTTTCACCTGGCAGTACTAGGGTCATTGGTTCGAATCCCAACCATGGCACCGCCTGGAGTTTGCATGTTCTCCCTGTGCTTGTGTGAGTTTCCTCCAGGTACTCCGGTTTCCGTCCACACTCCAAAGACATGTCGGTAGGTTAATTGGCTCCTGTCTAAATTGGCCCTAGTATGTGTATGTATGAATGAGTTAGGGACCTTAGATTGTACACCCCTTGAGGGTTAGGGACTGATGTGAATGTACAATATATATGTAAAGCACTGTGTAAGTTGATGGCACTATATATGTACCTGTAATAAATAAATAATGCACCAGTTGGGGCTCCTGGGTGTCACAAGTAAAGATCTGTACCCTTCTTACACCTGTGTGCATGGAAGCCATGTGTACCCCTGGAAGCACCATAAGGATGTCACAGCTGGGTGGGCACTATGCCCATTCTCTGCCCAGCAGCTGCAATGAGAAGGGTGCCCCATCCCCCCTCCTGACTCCTCACCTTGGTCCTATTGAGCACGAAGTCCAGGAGATGAGACAGAATGATGGCCCCGGGGATCTGCTGCTCCTTGCGGCTGCCGGTCATGGTGAAGGTGCCGGGAGTGAGATCGGTGCGATCTATAGAGGAAGACGATGTGCTCTGCTGCTGATCACTGCAATGTAATGAACGTCCCAGGGGTCCTGCAGGCTGTGATCTCCGCCCTGGAGGTGTACACCCCGACCCTGAATATACCGAGCTCCCCACCCCCCACCTCTGACCTGCACTCACCGCCTCTCCTTCTCACCACTCCGGACACACGTTACCTCCGGCTGGAATTTGACAGCCAGTGACGTCAGGAGGGGGCGGGGTTGAGGTGACACATGGGGAGAGCACACTGCTTCTCCCAGGAGACGGAGTCACCTACAGGCGAGGACAACGTGTGCCGGATCCCAGGAGGACACGACATTCGTCAGCACTCATCCCCAGTATATGTAGTAGTAATACAGGCTGGGGCAGGCAGTGGTTCTATTTCTGTGTTCTGCTATAAAGCTGTGTTCCAGGAATGGACTTTATTAGAGATGTGCACCACAGACAAATATTTTTGACTTTTAGCTATTAAACATGTCCCCAGTAACAATATGTAAAAAATGTCATCATAAATGTAGGCCAAAATGTATTCTGCTTCATGTCTGTGAAAATCCCAGTACGTGTAAATTAATTGGTGTGAAAGTGAAATGTGAAAGTTATATAATCTAAAAATGGCGGTATATATACTGGGATTTTTTTTTTCTAATACTAGTAATGGCGGTGATCAGCGAATTATAGCGGCACTGCGGTGGGCATTCTGACACGAGGTGGAACTGATTGACGGCCACTGACATCCCCAGTGACACCAATACAGTGATCAGTGCTAATAAAAAAGCACTGACACTGTACTAAAGCCACTGGACAGGAAGGGGTTAACATCTGGGGTGATCAAAGGGTTAACTGTGTGCCATGTAAAGTTTTACTATTTTGTGTGTGTGTTCTTTACTGTGTAAGCACGCTGCTTTGTATTGCTCTGCTATGCGGGGAATCTCCGGTCGGGACCCAGTGATCGACAGCTGTAGCCACCAATGGCAGCGCAGGTAGGGTGGTGTACGCGCACACTCCCTGCCCGGAAATACAAGATCATGTATATATACACGTGATTTTGCACAGCCATGCCGCTCTGTAGCAGTAGTTCTGCTATAGGGTGATCAGGAAGCGTTTAAAGAAGTACAGCCAAAGCTCTTTTGGCTGTACTTCTGTGGATCACACAGTTTGTTCTGCATTCCTGTGACCCATTTTGAGCTGACAGTGGGCTAAAGTCTGGTGTCACTCAGCCGGTCCAGGCTGGGATAAGATCCCAACTTCAAATTCGGGATCCACCCCAGAGTCTGGAATTGCTCCTGGCTTAGCCTCTCAGCGATCTGCTGAGAACCTGAGCCAGCTCACTGAGTTCTCACAGCCGCTCAGAGCAGAGAGTGGTGACTGTCAGTCACTAATATCTGCTCTGCCCCCCCTTCCCTCCACGCTCACTGGAACGCTGGGCTGTGGACTGGGGGGGCAGAGCAGGCAATAGTGACTGACAGTTACCACTGCCTGATTGTTAAGGGGGGGGGGGCAGAGCAGAGAGCGGCGACTAACAGTCATTGCTCCCTGCTCGGAGCGGCTGTGAGAAGTGAGCAATCAGTGGTCATGTGATCGCTGAGTTCCCACACTAGGAGCCAGCGGGGGACAGATGCATTGCACCTAGGTCAGTATAAATGGGGGAAAAAAGCCATACTTCTCTTTTAAGTAAATCATCATAATTGTTATCTTAGAATGATTTATTTTCAGAACAATTCGTTATTTCAGTGGAGTTTATATATTTAATGTTCTGCATCAATTCATATTTTTACAAGTTCTGTTATTCTTTTGTTATTTTGCTGCCAGTTCAACCCACAAAGAGAGCTGATTGGACGATATTGACTGGCATCACATGCATCCGAAGGTAACTAGATTGTAAGCTCTAACGATCAGGGTCCTCTGTTTCCTCTTGTATTGAATTGTATCGTAACTGTAATGTCTGCCTTCATTCTGTAGAGCGCTGTGCAAACTGATGGCGCTATATAAATCCTGTATAATAATAACTAAATGAATTTGGATTAATTCGGTATGTTATGATTTGGAAATTCTCATGGATCCACCTCCATTCAACCCGATAAGTAGGACTCCTCACCTTATTTACGTTATACTGTACTATATTTATTGCAGTATGTTTCCATTTCATATCCAGCTCGTGACTGTCTGCAATGTACTGCTGTTGTAGGCAAAGCAATGCACCCATACGTCACTGTCTATTTCCAGGAACACACCCCGGCCGACACCTGCTGTGATTGTACACAGTGGGAGTGTCATGTGTGGGACTGAACTTGGGTCCTTCTGCCTTGGGGCTGCAGCTCTATCTTCTCTACCACTGGGGAACCTGAGTCCTGCAGTATACAGTGCATTTTACATAGTCCCTCTGCTCCCAATACTCTCTAGCACCATCTATCTCATAGCACCAATCAATCCACAATCCGATCAGCTTGAAGTGTTACTAAACCCAGGACCTGCATTCACTATATCTGGTTACTAAACCCAGGACCCTGCATTCACTATATCTGGTTACTAAACCCAGGACCCTGCATTCACTATATCTGGTTACTAAACCCAGGACCCTGCATTCACTATATCTGGTTACTAAACCCAGGACCCAGCATTCACTATATCTGGTCTCCCACAGTTCACAAAACATTGAAGTGCAATTATTTTAGTAAATATAAACTGCTAAATACCTTTTCTTATCAGCAGTATATAGCAGTCTTGGGACTTCTAGCAGTATCCTGCAGAGCACTGGTTAAAGCATGTACAGGGGTGGACTGACAACTCATGGGGCCCCCAGGCAATAGGGGATCATGGGGCCCCTGTGTACTTGCCCACGCTCAAACCACACCCAAAAAAGCCTATGAAAGGTACCAGAGACATCTCATGGGGCCCCCTACTGACCCCGGGCCCAAATGGTCAGTCCGCCCCTGAGCATGTAGAGGGAGTTTTCAGACTCCTTTAGGAGGATGCAGGACCTCTGTCTGGACAGTGCCGATTGGCCCTGTGCTGATCACATGCACTCTCCCCCCCCAAAAAAAATAAAAAAACAATAAACACCAAACATAGCATGTGCAGAGTGACTCTACACGCTATGTCTTATCAGGAGATAAGAGGGGGACACTGGAAGAAGAGGAGGATCAGAGAAGTCAGGATCAAACAGCCTTTTTACACAATGCAGAGGATTAACCCCTTAGGTTCCACAGTGAGTATAACAAGCACGCTTTACTGCATATACAGACTGATTTTACTGTTGTGGGTTTAGTAACACTTTAAATTGCAGGACTTCCTTTGGACTGTGCCTGTTTGTTGGATCTGTTTCCTTGGGTTACATACATAGTTAGCCTGGCTGAAGGCTGAAAAAAGACAAAAAAGTCCACCCAGTTCAACCGTAAAAAAAAAATTATAAACCTATACCCACAGCTGATCCAGGGGAAAGCAAAAAAAACCAGCAAAGCATGATCCAATTTACTCCTGCAGGGAAAAAATTCCTTCCTGATCCCCCAAGAGGCAATCAGATATTCCCTGGATCAACTTTACCTATAAATGTTAGTATCCAGTTATATTCTGTGTATCTAAGAAAGAATCCAGGCCTTTTTAAAGCAATCCACTGAGCTGGCCAGAACCAACTCTGGAGACAGTCTATTCCACATTTCACAGCTCTTACTGTGAAGAAACCTTTCTGTATTTGGAGATTAAATTTCTTTTCCTCCAGACGTAAAGAGTGCCCCCTTGTCCTCTGTGAGGACCTCAGGGTGAATAGCTCTACACTGAGTTCACTATATGAACCACTGATGTATTTATACATGGAGATCATATCCCCCCTTAATCTCCTCTTCTCAAGAGAGAATAAATTCAGTTCCTCTAATCTTTCCTCATAGCTAAGCTCCTCCATGCCTCTTATCGTTTGGTTGCCCTTCTCTGTACTTTCTCCAGTTCCCCAATGTTCTTTTTGTGAATTGGTGCCCAAAACTGAACTGCATATTCCAGATGAGGTCTTACTAATGATTTGTACCGGGGTAATATGATATCTCTCTCTCTGGAGTCTATACTTCTTTTAATACAAGAGAGGATTTTGCTCGCTTTAGAAACTGCAGCTTGGCATTGCATGCCATTATTAAGCTTGTGTTCTACCAGAACCCCCAGATCCTTCTCCACCATTGATTCCCCCAGTTGTACCCCCCCCCCCAGTATGTATGATGCATGCATATTATTAGCCCCCAAGTGCATAACCTTACATTTATTAACAATAAACCTCATTTGTCACATAGTTGCCCAATTACACAGTGCATTGAGGTCGGCTTGTAAAGTGAAGACATCCTGTAAGGACGTTATTCCACTGCACAGCTTGGTGTCATCTGCAAAGACTGAAATGGGATTTTGTAATCCCAGACCCTATATTGTTTATAAATATATTAAAAAGTAAGGGTCCCAACACTGAACCTTGGGGTACACCACTGACAACCCCAGACCATTCAGAGTATGAATCATTAACCACTACTCTCTGAATACGATCTTTTAGCCAGTTTTCCATCCATTTACATACGGATTTTTCCAAGTCTGTAGACTTTACCTTACACATTAGCCATGTGTGGGGAACTGTGTCAAACCCTTTTGCAAAATCCAAGTATACCACGTCCACCGCCACCCCTCTGTCCAAGTATACCACGTCCACCGCCACCCCTCTGTCCAAGTATACCACGTCCACGTCCTAAGTATACCACGTCCACCGCCACCCCTCTGTCCAAGTATACCACATCCACCGCCAACCCTCTGTCCAAGTATACCACGTCCACCGCCACCCCTCTGTCCAAGTATACCACGTCCACCGCCACCCCTCTGTCCAAGGTTTTGCTCACCTCCTCATAAAAACAAATCAGATTTGTTTGATATCTTCTGTCTTTCATGAATCCATGCTGTCTGTTGCTTAACATATTTTTTTCCAGTAAGAACTCATCTATGCGGTCTTTTATTAAACTCTCCAGTATCTTCCCAACTTTAGAAGTGGGTGTGCTATACTTCTGAATTACTGAACTTCTGGACTTTGACCTTTGACCGATTCCTGATTTACTCTCTTTGCCTGACAATTCTACCTTACTCTGCCAGTCTGTTTATGACCCTGCATGTTCCCAACCACGCTCCCAGATTCTAACTTTGTACCTTGCTGTCAAGAATTGTGGCTGACCTGCCTGACTACACCAATGCCCCACTTTGGACTATACCTTATAACAGGTACCTTACAGGGACTATCTGTAAAAACAAGGGAAAAGAGGGCGCACCAGCCTCGTACATTATCTAGGATGATAGCTTTATTAAATCCAACGTTAAAATTTACTCCAAACGCGTCAGCCACAAGAGGGACCTCATGAGATTGGCAGCTGATCCTGTATTGGTTGCTTTGCATTTGATACGCCTTTGTTACCACAGTGCTTGTGAGTATATTTTAACTTTGGGTTTAATAAAGCCCTCTGGGTTCCTCCCCCAACCCTTAGAGAGCAGCAAGGCCTGTGCTGGTATTGGACACATGAAGGACCTGATACAGTTCCATCCTAATAAACCAATCTTGAGTGCAGGGGACTATATATTTTTTCTTCCACAAGGTACCTTACAGGGAGCATGTCAGCTAGTCCCGGCCAATGATTCACAGCCAGGACCTGCTGATCGGCTGTGTACAATTACAATCCAGAGCTCTGTACAGAGGGAACGATCCCTATGTTTCTCATCCCTCTTTGTAAAAGCAGCACACTTTACACAGAGTACAAATAGTTAGGCACACATTTAACTCTTGATCACCCTAGATGTTAACCCCTTCCCAGCCAGTGTCATTAGTACGGTGACAGGGCACAGTATTATCACTGATCACTGTTTTATTGTCACTGTGATCACAACCATTAGTAGTATAAAAAAAATTAAAATTCCTGTATATGTACCATAGTTTGTAGACTCTATAACTTTCAAGCAAACCAATCAAAATACACTTATTGGGAGTTGTTATCAAAGACATGTAGCAGAACACATTTTGACCTAAATTTTTGACAAAATTAGATTTTTTTTTATTTGATACGTTTTGTAGTAGAAAGTAAAAAATATAGTTTTTTTTCTCATTTTCAGTCTTTATTTGTTTATATACCAAAAAGATAAAAAAAACCCAGTTGTGATCAAATACCACCAAAAGAAAGCTCCGTTTGTGTGAAAAATTATATAGATTTTGTTTCGGTACAGTGCTTCATGACCGTGCAATTACCAGTTAAAGTAGCGCAGTGCTGTATAACAAAACGTAGCCTGGTCATGAAGGGGGTAAAATCTTCTGGAGCTCAAGTGGATATGTAGTTGTTTTTTTTATAATAATGAAAAATGTTAATGCAAAAAGAATCAGCTGATTATGCAAGAGTTAAAGACTACCACACCACTTTCATCTGAAAAAAATTAATGTATCCAAATGAATATGTATTCATTCATTATGTTATTAAAGTGTTACTAAACCCAGAACCCTGAATCCACTGTATCTGGTCTTCCACAGTACACATGTAAATGCAATTATTTTAGTAAATATAAACTGCTAAATTCCTTTTTTCATCAGCAGTTATAGCAGTTTTGTGACTTCTATTAGTGTCCAGCTTAGCACTAGTTAAAGCTTGTAGGAGGAGTTTTCATGCTGCTCTGGCTGTCCTTTGAGACTGCATAACCCCTGACCCCCTGTCTGGACAGTACTGATTGGCTCAGTGCTGATCACATGCACTCTCCCAATGAAGAAAAAAAACTCTCTAGCCATTCACACTAAACTAAGTACAGGTGTACCTCGGTTTACGAATTTAATGCGTTCTTCAGGACATTTCATATTGCAAATGTAATTACCGGCTTTTTTTTTCCTTCACTATAGCTCTGAGAATCAGCTGTCATTTTTCCCCCAGCTAAAAGAAAGAAAGTTTCCTTTCAGTTTGTTTTCCGGGATAAAAGAAACAAAGTATCCTTTAGCTCCCAGGAAGGAGACAGCTAATTCTGTGAGCTATAGTGAAGAAAAAAAAAGCTGGCAATTGCATTTAAAAAATCAGCACTGACATACATTTCGTATTGCGAAAAAAATTCATAAAAAATTTGTAAACCGAGGCATTATTTTCAATGGATTTTCATGCGTAAACCGAAAATTACATTAACCAAGGCGTTTGTAAACTGAGGTACACCTGTATGTGCAGAGTGACTCCTAGAGCTCTGGGCAATCAACAGATGGATTGGGGACAGTGGAAGACGGGGAGGATCAGAGAAGACAGAATCGAACAGCCTTTTTAAACAATGTAGAGGATTAGCCCATTAGTTTCCACAGTGAGTATAACAAACATGCTTTACTGCATATATAGACTGATTGTACTGTTGTGGGTTTAGTGACACATTAACTTGAATTAATTTCCTCATTCCCAACTGGCTTTGTTTTTTGGCCTGCGCACATACAGATTAAATGGATGATCACTCAAGTTTAACCCCAATACAAAAAGAATCTCATTAGATTATTCTGCTATATGTCTTTGCTAAAAAAAAATCCAAATACGTGTAAATTAATTGGTTTACGTTACAGTTGTAGCGTCTACAAATGGTGGGATATATACTGGAATTTGGTTTTGGTTTTTTAGTAATGGTGGCGATCAGCGCAACTTATAGTGGGACCTATACTATAGTGGGACTAGCTGCCACTGACATCCCCAGTGACGCTAATACAGTGATCAGTGCTAATAAAAAGCACTGACACTGTACTAATGACACTGGGCAGGAAGGGGTTAACATATGGGGAAATCAAAGGGTCAACTGTGTGCGTCTTACTGTGTGCTACTAGGGCGACATGCTGTTTTGTATCTCTCTGCTGTGCAGAGAGATGCAAAACAGCATGTCCATGCTGACAGGAGAGAGACCTGTGTTGTTTAAATCTCCTCTATTAGCTTTCCCAGTGATCACCGAGTGCTGGCGGGGAATCACCAGCTGGTACCTGGTGAATGACATCTCTAGCCACCAATAGCGGCGTGGGTAGGGTGGCACACACACACGCGTGCCCCCTACCCAAAGATGCAATCATTATATATATATATATATGTGTGATTTTGTGGAGCCCTGCCGCCCTGTAGCAGTACTTCTCCTATAAGGTGGAGGGCAACTGGTTAAGGATGGGCAGGAAGATGTTCAAGTTGACGCAATAAGTGGGCAGCCAAATACACAAAAGATGGGCGCAAATGTGGACAGAGTGCAAGCCAAATTTGTTCAGAGGAAAAAACTGAAACT